TTCCTGAGATAGTTAACGGATAAGATGTTGTTTGAGTTATAATAAAAATAAGGCCTGTTATGGTCTATCTATTTTTATGTACGCAAAAGTCACACGATTCCAACCCACCAACTTTGAAGTCCAAATCAGGGATTGGATGACCATCTCATTTCTATCTAACCTGTCCGAGGGTTATACACGGTTCTCTCCGAGGCACGTTTACCACGTGTCATTTCGCCCTCATAAATGCATACGCGTCATCTGACACGCTGAGGTCACTACCAAGATCGTGCTAACCTCCTCAAGATAAAACTGAAGGTCACCGACTAGGAATTACAATCACTGTTAGTGCCAAATAATCGATCTACTCCAGCTCCAGCCCATTGGTATGATCAAGGTTGCTTCATCTCCCCTGCCTTTAAATAGAGCCATAAGCCTTCAAGATTAGAACCTTCGTCAAATTCAATCATTACAATTAAACAAAATCCTTGAGTGATCCTTCAATCAACCCAACTACTTTTTAGCATAAACTCAATTGCTCTTTAGCAAAAACTCACTTAGCTCTTTAGCTACAATCTCAAAGCCTTCATTCGAAGAAAATACTGCCTACCATCATGGAGATCTAAAACTTTTATAGCTCTGCCATGGTATGATTTGGTTGATGTACAATTCCAACCACCATAACTTTCTCGATGAGATAAATGTTTTGTACTAAGCTCAAACTGAAACTAGTGATTTCGGCAGGCTCCTTTAGCATTATCTTACCCTTCATGGCCTAAATCTTGCTAGACTTTTACTATTTTCATTACATTTCAAGTTATGAAGCTCAGCCCATCGACCTAGATTTTACTTTTGTGAACATTTGTAATCTTGACTCCATCATGAGATGAATATATTCTTTTGTCATTGAGTTTCTATTTTGCTTTTATTTACTTTTTTGGCAAGTATACACAGAGTTACACTGAAATTTTTGTCCTTATTCGCTAGAGGCACATAAAAGAACCTAACTAAACCAACATCGCACTTAGTGCACAATCATTTGATTAAGAACTTAGATTAATGCACATCTTTAACATGCACTCAAACACATTGTTTATTGGCAGCTTCCAACAGTGGCAAGCTTGTATAGACATAAATTAACCACATCTAATAGGAGAAGGACACATGGATTATATGCTAAACATGACGGCTTTGCCCTTGACATTGTGAGTAGACCCCCAAATTACCTTAAGGAAAATAAGACATAGTCTGCCCTAAGGCAATGAGCCTTTAAGCCATAACAAACTGTGGCCTCTCTGAGCCGCCTATGGTACAAGTCATGAGCTCTCCGAGTATGATATAGGCTTTCTGAGCTTCCCATAATAGGTTTTGCCACCGGGCCATACCCGGTCCAATGGTGGTAGATCACCAACTCTCCGGAGCCTCCCTTTAGACCAAAAGCGACACTCAAGATACATGCATGTTGAACTCAGTCCAAACTCCTTCCAAGTTTTGACACCAACAAATGCCATGTTGTGTTCTTTTGCAAAGATTAAATCAATAATTTGCTTTATGATTATTTTCTGCTAATTACTGAAAGGAAGCACATTTAAGACTTAAAAAAAAATTATCAAGGTATGCATACTATATGCATTGATTTTGGATGTTTATAATTTTGTAACCAATTAAATACGTTTTCTATATTTTCAGTTAAAATTGAAAACATCACTTATTAAACAACCTCGCACATTCTCACATTATAGAAATGCACAATTCTATTTGTCGGTTTTTTTTTTTTTTTCTTTTTCCTTTCTAAAACTATCCTTGAAAAATCATTCTTTAAGACAATACCGGACAGACCATATAAAGTCAAGGTGAAATATTCTGTGGTCACGAAGTACTATAGTATAATGGTATTTATTTTCACTTATAAGTGAAAGGTCTTAAGTTTAAATCTCAAGAATGATAAGTTTGTAACTAATTTGTTCATCCACCCTCTTATATTGTTGTATTAAAAAAAGGTTAAAAAAAGGTAAAGGAGAAAAAAAGCAGTAAAATAAAAAAAAATCGTAAAAAGTTTAGGTTTTATGTATCCTCTTGGTACCTTAACCAATTGGATTTAGAGTAAGAGAAGTCTCAACAAAGAATGAGCCTATGTGAATAGGCTAATAAGCGTACACAAAGAACAAGCCTATGTGAATAGGGTAATTTAAGGACTGGTGACAAAATTTCTAAATCAAATTTTGTAAACTAAATGATGTGGATGTTTATGATTGAATTATTACTTGAGTTTAATTAAGGTACTTATTTTCTAGTACTACACGTCTTTTAGTTTATGAATTTAGTTAAAAATGTGGCTTCCTTCACATTATTCATGTGGATATTGTAAGACAAATTACAATGGTGCACTCTCTTGGTGCCGTTTATCTACTTTTTTGGGTGTGAGTTCCCCTAACACAATTTTGTAATTGCTGTAATTCCAACTTATCCACCTCCATCCAGTTAGGAATATTTGAGGATTATTATTACTGATCTGTGCCACTAAGACAATGATCCATATAAAAATTCACTCGTTAAAATTCTTTACCCTTTTGTATTCATGCGTAGACAGTAGAATATTCATAGATTTTGATTGGCCTAAAACGGTCACTTGAAAAAGGGTGGTTTGCCATTATGTGCTGCTTTTTTTCTTCCAACAACTGTTTCATTGCCTTAATTACTAATTAAGGCACATATACTCTTTGCCAATTAGCTGGAATGATCAAGTTTTGATACGAGTAGAAATTATCAATCGTTATTATGTCATTGTTATTGTGCGGTTGTTATGTCATCATTGTGTAATATAATTTGTATGCTATTATTGCTAAATACCGATCATTTTAGCCACCAAATATCAAAAATTGATCATACCAACTAGTTGCCTTATGCTCTTTTCCCTTTGCATGATGAGGAAAGAGTAAAATTGTGTCCCAATTCCATACACTGGTATGCACAAAGAGGTACAAAATTATTACCATACCGAATATATACTTACTGTTGAATTTACTAAATTCTTTCTTTTATTTGAATTCTAGTAATTGAAAACAGCAAAAAAAACACCCAAAAACCAACTGGCAGAATCAGACCAGCTGATGCTTAAGCAGTAGGTGTGGTTAGTCCATTATTTATTAACTTGACTGTATCTTAATATTTATTTATAGCTAGTGTATCAGCATATTTAGTGCAAATATTTTGTTATTAATTATTAGCTATTTCAATTCCCATAAAATAGAACAGATTGTGCTACAATACGTAGTATAATTTAGACTCCTAAGCCTCGTTTGATGTTTAGGATTTGTTTGGCTTGGACAATTCACTTAATTCTATGAATGTTGATATAAATATGGATGCCAACTTGTATACGTTGTTCAAGTGAAGGTAAAAGATGAAATCATGAAGAAAATATATCTAATTCACACAAAAATAGTAGGATTAATTGAGAGGGACAAGTTTTCTTCATGACTTCATGTTTTACCTTCACTTGAACAAAATATGAAACCAAAAACAACTAATCCTAAGCATCAAACAAGCCCAAAGATACTAAACTCTCCATGAACAAATGTTTATATAAGATCGAATCAATCCCTCGATCAATTTAGTGCAATATGTATTCAAGTATGAAAATGGCTATTACTTTGAGGCAAGGGCCATTCTATGCCTGTATTATCTTTTATTTATGAGGTGTGACATCGACATATCTTTTTTTACTTTTCACACACTCTTCTAATTTTCGACAGTCGAATCTAATGAATTGAAGAATATCAAATGACATAAATTAACAAAAGGTGTGTGGATATATAGCACACCCCGCATTATTTATTTATTTAAAATATAACTCTAAGAAGTCAGTATATATACCACAACTAGCTAAAGTGTGTACATTTTTGTATTATTAATGTAATATAAAGCATTAAAGCTGGCAAAAATACTGGAGATTTTTTGGTTGAGAGTTTTGGGAGAATGTATATCATTTGACTATGGTTAGAAGTAGGCTGAATGCCTCTGGTCTTTTCAGGTCCACTAGAAATTAGTCCTATCTTTCGAAGTATAGGATACCCATCAGACTTCCAAAAAAAAAATAAATAATAATGTAATATTAATCATATAGTGGAATGTTTGTAAAAATTGTTCCCCTACAAAGTGTGGGATAGCTAAGGCTTCGAAAAGAAAAAAAATGTAGTATTAAGCATATAGTGGACTGTTCTGTAAAAATTGTTCCTTACATCATTAATGAATTCCTCGCGGTATCAATAAAGAACATAACGTAATTAACCTTCTATATATGCAACCGTCAAAGTGTTCCACTTGTAAAAAGTGAGCCAGTAACAACATACACGAACCAACTAATCCAACTAGCAGAGAGCGAAGAAAATCCTCACATTAGGGAGAAAAATAGAGGAAAGACAAACTACCACAGGCCTTTGCCTTTGACTGTAGGGCTGATAGTAATCTCTCTTGGTCTGTTCCCTTCAACCACTCTTTGTTTATTCTATTTTCTATCCATCTCCATCTCCTGGGTTGTGATCGTTTGTTGCTCTGTTGAGAAATTTTCTTTAGCAGCTATGACCTACTGCTTAACATCAAACCTTAGTGCAGCAACTGTTGTTCAAATATGAGATCGTGATTTTTGTGCACTTGAAAAAGATTATGAGGATGAAGTTCGATCCGTAATTCATAGCAATACTTTTTGTTGATGGTTGTAAGATCATCAAAGAGTGATGCGGTCTTTTCATTGTGCTTTCTTTAACTATAGGTCTCTGACTTCTAAATTTAGTACTCGTTGATGCTACCATGTCATTGATGCTATCATGCTCTTATTTGTGCTCCAGTATCCACTAGTGGCTCTTTACCACAGTAGTAAAAGGCTCCAGTATCCATTAGTGGCCCTTTACCACAGTAGTGGAAAGGAGTCGAGCTCTTGTACAACGGCGTGAATTCGAACCTCATCGGTGACTAATCTAACAAAATCTATCGTTTGACAAGAAAAAAAAATCCACTACCAGTCTTCCTCTTTTAACTTACACAAAATAAACCCTAACCCTAAATTCAACGACAACAAGAAACTGTAACTTTCTAACAATATATGATTTAATTTTCAGTCTTCATCGACTCCTTCAAAAGCCCATGCATACTCGTCGCGAAGCTTCTGCTCTTCCTCGGGCGTGAAATCACTCTCGACGCCGAACAACTGCCTCACGTACTCGACGCTCTTGTTCTTGATCCGATCAGCGACGCACTGGTTCAGCACCTCCAGCATTTGATCGACGTTCAAGTAATCGGCGGCCAGGGTCAGCTCCATCACGTTACCGGTGGTCTCGTCCTTGACGAAATCGTTGTTGAATTTCCTAAGCTCCTTCTTCGACACCTCCTCGTGCTCCGCCTTCCGATTCAGATCTAGGCTTTTGGTGCAGAAATCGATGATCTTGACGAGCTCCCCGCTGTGGACATTCGGGACCGGCATCACCATGTCGCGTGCCACGCTCTCATCTTGGAAGAACGCCTTGACAGTCTGGAACTGCATCGCGACATTCTCGTCGATCTCGAAGATCTCGCCATCGGAGGTCTTGAGGGAGATCTTCTTGCTTTCGTAGTTTTCCGTCGCCAACTGTGCCTCTTCCTCAGTGTCAGTGGCGTCAGGAGCTTCGATATGCTCTTTCTCGGTCGACATGTCGATGAGCACGGTTCACGAATCTACGTTTAGGGTTTAGGATGTAAAGAGAAGGGGATTATATATATAGGTGTTGTTTGGGATTTTCCGAAAGGAACTGAGGTGGGATTAATTCATTCCCAATTAGGATTAGGGAGAGTTTGTGTGTGGCTTTAATCGTTAATGTGTTAATCACACGTTTGGGATGGGAATGAGAATCCTTGAAGGATTTGGAGTTCCTGCGGAAAACCAGGACTTTCACATTTGACATGTTTATATCTTTGATCATGTTGCCAGCATCGTTCTAAAAATCCCTATCTAGCGCCGCCTAAGTCCCGCCTAAACGTTAGGCGGCTAGTCATCGTTCCGATTAATGCCTAAGCATTTGAAAATTAAGAAAGAGCGCTAGACCTGATGAGGCGCCCGTCTAGACCGCCTAACCCGTCCAGACCCACGTAGATTACGATTTACTTAGACAGAAAATAGATAACTTTCATTTTGTATTTTATTTTATTTTTCAAAAAATTGTAAGACTTGTTGAATACTTAATGAACACACATTATATGCTTGTTCCCCTTGTTTTCATTATGTTCCAATACTTCATATAATATATATATATATATATCATTCTATTTTATAGTTTATGACGTAATTAATTATATTTTTAAGTATAAACATATACTTATTTACATGAAATATAATAAATTTACTTAAATCAGTCTAGTCCGTCTAAGTGCCCACCTAGGCGCTAATCCCCAGTTTGCCGTCCGACTAGCGTCTAGCGTCTTTTAGAACCTTGGTTGCAAGTGGCCCTTTATCACTGCGGTGGAAAAGTATTGAGTCATTGCACGACGGCGTGGGTTCCAACCTTGTCGGTAGCTAACCTAGCATTTAATCTAACAAAATCTATCATTTGATAATATCTTTGATTATCTCCAATGAAATTTTCTTTGATTTTCTGTTAATAAAAAACATCAACAAACCAATATATCTAAACTACGTATTAATGAAACTCTCTTTGTAATTTAATCTTCTACCACAAAATAAAATTATGGACAGTTAAGTAAATTCACACAAACTAAATTTTACAATTTTTTTTAACCTCACCCACAATTGATCATAACATCCTCTAATTTGAAAAATAAAAAATAAAAAATAAAATACAAACCTTTCTCTCCCATTCCACGTTCCTCTTTTTCTCTCTCTCACTTTCCCATTTTAAAAACAGATATTATCTTTACCAAAAAAAAAACAGATATTATCACACACAAAGTGGGCATTATGCTAGTGTTAATAAAAAAATAAAGCAATATATTTGACGAGTTTCACAACCTTCTTTAATATTGTGTTTATTGATTCTTCATGTATGTTACGAGAACTGTTTCATATTCCCTTTGATTTGCTTCTAATACATTTTCTTCGTACCTTCGAGGTTTTTGAAATAAAAACCTGTTACCATAAAAATGTTTGTAAGAATATGTGCGATTCGGTTTGATTCAGTTAAATACTAAAAATATAACCAAATCAACTAGTACTCTATAGTTTAATTTGATTCAGTTTTGACCAATACTACCACTATTGAAAACAAAACCAAACCAAAGCATTGTTAATCAATTTGATTCGGTCGGTTAAAGTCAATTCCAACGCACTAATTAAAAAAGGTCAACATTTCAAGAATTTTAATTTCTAAACATCCTCACACCTAACACATTCCAATTCAATCAAAAGACTAAGTTTAACGGAACATAAAATTTCATCAAGTTAACTAGGACTAAGTTTTAATTAAATAAAATAGCATACTAGAAAACGATTTACTAGTTATAATTTTACATAAACATAAATACAAACATATCTCCTAATTATTAATAGTCATTACAACTTATATCATGTAGAAACTCAATATGGTACCGTAAGACTTCCAAATAACCTATAATAAGTCGACATGTGCAAAATAAATAAAATGAACAATTCAAAGATATATGGTCGATACAGTTTGGTTTTAAAACTCTTTGAAAGTGCTTTTAAAATGAATAAAGTTACTTTTGGTGAAACTGATTTTGGGTTCCAAAAGCATTTTAAGTGTTTGTTGGATGAAGCACCGGATATGTGTTTTTTATAGGAAGCACTTAAAGTATTAAGAATTGGTTTCAAAAATATTTTTACCAAAAGCGTTTTCAGTCATTTTTAAAACACTTCCAAAAGAGTCCTTGTTTCAAAAGTATAAAACCAAACCAATAAAAGTTAGTTCTGTTGATGCTACATGTTTGGGATACTCCAAAGAAGCAGCAAGCATCCGTACTATGCTTGTGTAACGTGTCACAAGTTATTTATTTATTTTTTAGCAAATGATAATATCTATACTAAGGGTAATGTAACTCAAATTCGTCTTTGGCGAGAATCATATCTAAGACATCTCACTTACAAGTGAAGAAGAATACAACTAAACTCGTAGTACAAAGTGACAATGTGTCACAAGTATTAAACATTCTACTCAACATGTTCTCAAGTTTTTGAAGTCATTCATATCCTAATTGAAATCCAGTTCCATTTCCAAAGAAAGATCGGTCTTAATATCTTATCAGTATTGGTTGTTTATACGATTATCTTTTTATTATTGGATATTGAGTACGTATAAACACATGAACAGGTGCTCCAGCAGTGTACTCCTGAAAACATTATATATAAATCGAACAAAATATTACATATAAAGATCTCAGGTGCGCTTATATCTGTCTATGTCTAATTTTGTGAGTGGTATAGGAAGGGGGTGGGTGGGGTCCTCTCAGAAGAATGAGATTCATGGAGACAAATACACTTTCTTTTAAATTCTGGGCATGTGGCTTTCAATATAAAGCAGTTGGCACTGATCGATGTTATTCCCCTACTACGTGCATCTTAGTGGAGTATAAACGTAAAGCTTCTTTATGCAAAGATAGGTAGATATATGCCATCTCTCTCTCTGTCTCTCTCTCTGTCTCTCTCTCTCTCTCTCGCTCTCTTAAGCAGCACAACTATTCTGTACTGGTGCACAAACAATCCCTCCTTTTTTATCATCCATGCTTGTTGTTACTGCTACACCCAATGATCCCCTCAATCATCACATTTATAAACCGCTTCTCTTCCTCTCCTCCTTCCCTGCCACAATTCCTACCAGATTTTTAAAACTACCCTTTATTTCCCTCTTTCTAAAATCTTCTCTCCCTTTCTCTCTCTCTCTCTCTCCATCTTTGATTTTTCAAACATGGCTTCTTATAATCTTACCAGCTTCGTCCTTTCTATCTTGCTTATAATTCACTCGCTTTTTTATCCGTTTCAAGCCGTCATCAGTACAAATACTAACCAGTCTGAGTTTTTTGTGCTCATAATAAAGTCTGTTTCAGCTAACTCAGGAAACTCCCTGTCAGATTGGGATGTCACAGGAGGGAAACCTTACTGCAACTTCTCCGGCGTCACCTGCAACAATGATGGGTATGTTGTTGAGCTTGATATCTCCGGTAGGTCTCTGTCCGGCAAGTTTCCTGCAGGAATCTGCTCTTACCTGCCTCAGTTGCGCGTTCTCCGTCTTGGACGTAACAATCTCCAGGGTGACTTTGTGGACAGCATCACCAACTGCTCATTCTTGGAAGAGGTTAACATGGATCATTTGTTCCTCAGTCAGACGCTTCCGGATTTTTCACCCTTGAAATCTCTGAGGGTTCTTGACATGTCTTATAATTTGTTCAAGGGCAAGTTCCCCATGTCAGTGTTCAATCTCACCAATCTTGAGGTGCTCAACTTCAACGAAAACGGAGATTTCAACTTGTGGCAACTTCCAGATGACATCCATCGGCTGACAAAGCTCAATTCTATGATCTTGACAACGTGCATGATTCAAGGAAAGATCCCTCCATCAATAGGAAACATGACTTCTCTTCTTGATCTCGAATTGAGTGGCAATTACCTGGTTGGTAAAATTCCTGCGGAGCTTGGTTTGCTCAAGAATTTGAAACAGTTAGAGCTCTACTACAACCAACTTGTTGGAACTATCCCTGAGGAGCTTGGAAATCTCACTGAACTCGAAGACTTAGACATGTCAGTCAATAAGCTGACTGGAAATATTCCAGAATCTATTTGTCGCCTTCCCAAGCTCCAAGTCCTGCAGCTTTACAACAACAGTCTTTCAGGTGAAATACCAAGCGCCATTGCAGACTCGAAAACACTGAGCATGCTGTCACTGTACGCTAACTTCCTGACAGGAGAAGTTCCAAGAAATCTGGGGCACTCATCATCAATGATTGTCCTGGACTTGTCCGAGAACCATCTTTCTGGTCCATTGCCAACGGAGGTTTGCAAGGGAGGTAAGCTGCTCTATTTTCTTATGCTGGACAATAAGTTATCTGGGGAGATACCAGTGAGCTACGCAGAATGCCAGTCTCTTCTTCGATTTCGACTTAACGGTAATCATCTGGAGGGTTCAATACCTGCAGGACTTCTTAGTCTTCCCCATGTTTCGATCTTTGATTTGAGTTACAACAATTTGAGTGGTCAGATTGCAGATACAGTTGGAAGAGCTAAAAACTTGTCAGAATTTTTTATACAAAGCAACAGGATTTCAGGTATTCTACCACCTGCAATCTCTGGAGCAATCAGCCTAGTGAAGATTGACCTCAGTAATAATTTTCTTTCTGGTCCAATTCCTTCTGAAATTGGCAACTTAAAAAAGCTAAATCTACTGATGTTGCAATGCAACAAGCTCAACTCTTCCATTCCCGATTCACTTTCTTCACTGAAATCTCTCAATGTTCTTGATGTCTCCAACAACCTCTTGACTGGAAAAATCCCAGAGAGTCTCAGTGAATTGTTACCAAACTCCATCAACTTCTCAAACAATAAGCTTTCTGGCCCAATTCCGCTCTCATTGATAAAAGGTGGGTTGGTGGAAAGCTTTTCAGGCAACCCAGGCCTCTGTGTTAAAGTTTCTTCAGATCAAAATAATTTTCCCATATGTTCACAATCTTTGAACAAAAAGAAGTTGAATTCTTTCTGGGTTATTATAGTTTCGGTAGTCCTCCTCCTCATTGGAGCTCTGCTGTTCCTAAAGCGCCGATTTGGAAAAGAAAGAGCAGAGGTGGAACATGATGAGACCCTGTCCTCATCATTCTTCTCATATGATGTAAAGAGCTTTCATCGAATAAACTTCGACCACCGCAAGGTCATTGAAGCCATGGTTGATAAGAACATAGTAGGCCATGGAGGATCAGGGACAGTGTACAAGATTGAGCTGAGCAGCGGGGATGTGATTGCAGTGAAGAGGCTGTGGAGTAGAAAAGCAAAAGATTCTGCAGAAGATCAGCTGTTCATACACAAGGAGTTGAAAACTGAGGTGGAGACGCTGGGAAGTATCAGGCACATAAACATTGTCAAATTGTACTGCTACTTCTCAAGCTTGGACTGCAACCTGTTGGTTTATGAGTATATGCCAAATGGTAACCTTTGGGATGTCCTTCACAAAGGAGGGATCCATCTAGATTGGCCTACTCGTCACCAGATTGCGCTCGGGATTGCACAGGGTTTGGCATACCTCCACCATGATCTGATGCCTCCAATTATTCACAGAGATATCAAGTCTACCAACATCCTGCTTGACGTCAATAACCAAGCCAAGGTTGCAGATTTTGGCATAGCCAAGGTTTTACAAGCAAGTGGGGGAAAAGATTCCACCACCACTGTTATTGCTGGGACTTATGGTTACTTAGCCCCAGGTAATTTCCTGATCAAACTTTCTATAGATTGATTAAACATTTACCGTTAAAGTAAAACTATTATTTATTCTACAAACCTAAGCATAGTCTAGTTGACTACAGCAGTATGCTCCCTCGTCGGCACCCAAGTTCGAATCCCCCTCCCCATATTTTAAATTAGATTAGAATATCACTTGATACAAAAAATAAACCATTATGTGTTACCTTTTGTATCAAATTTGTTTTTTATGCTTGCTCTTAGTTGTTGCTTTTTTAGGTTAAACAAGTACTATATGCGTGATATCTTGATTTACTTTTACTAAGTAGTGTTTTGACTTAAATTAGTAATTACTCCAAATCATGTTTAACTAAATTTAATTGATTGATTTGTTTTTTTGGGACAGAATATGCATATTCATCCAAAGCAACAACCAAGTGTGACGTCTACAGTTTTGGAGTAGTTTTGATGGAGCTGATAACAGGGAAGAAGCCAGTGGAGGCAGAGTTTGGAGACAACAAGAACATCATATACTGGGTTTCAAACAAAGTGGACACCAAAGAAGGAGCCATGGAGGTGCTTGACAAGCGATTATCGGACTCATTCCAGGAGGAGATGATCCAGGTTCTTCGCATTGCCGTTCGATGTACCTGTAAGGCGCCTTCTCTGCGTCCGAGCATGAAGGAGGTGGTTCAGCTGCTGATTGAAGCTGACCCTTGCAGATTTGATTCATGCAAGTCATCAACTAAGACCAAAGAAGCACCAAATGTGACGAAGGTCAAGAACCCTTATGAGTTCTGATTTGCATGGAAGAGTTTGTTTGTTGGGTCCCACAGTCCTAGGTCAAATACTGTCATATAGCATATACATATATATATATATATATATATATGATATCAGATAACCATATAAGTAAAGTTCCTCTCAAACTGATTGGGGGACTGGTCATAAAGGTATAACTAATTATAACTCTCTTTAGTTTTTCATGAAGGTGGCTTGTAGATTCCATATCTCAATCTCTTTCTCTATTTTTCTACTTTGTAATTTTGTTTTTGTAACGATTTGAGGAATTCAGTCACTATAGCTGCTTTTTTACAGTATCCCTAGCTCATCAGCATCCATATCTCAGAGGGATCAACTAATCAAATCTTCCCTAGCTTTTGTGAATTTTGTTTTTTCCTCTTTATCTTTTGTGCTCTTTTGTATTGGAGTGGGGAATAAAAAGGCACATATATGTTAGTGAGGAGTGGAGGGTTGTGAATTGTGGGAGAGCCTTCTTTATGCATCCAAAAAGTGAGTTCCTGATTCTGATTTTAAAGGTAAGGAAGCATATATGATTCTTGTGCGGAGGAGCCACTTGAGTTAGCAACCCTTTGGGCATGACTGTCAGTTGAGCATATGTTGCAAGACGATATTTTAAACTAGTCTAATTGATAGGGAGAGATATTGGACTTAAGAGTAACAAACGAACACATTGTCTTAACCAACTAACTTAACTCGTATATATAACATTATCTCCATTTATAAGTTAAGAATAGATGAGAAGGAAGTAAATCTTTGTATTCTTTTATGTTGTTTCTATTTTTTTTCTAAATGAACTCGATTGATTTATGTTGGAGTGAGGTGTGCGCGCATGGAAAAGCACCAAGCTTGCTTCACCATAGATAGTGAGGCATGAACTTCCCACTCACAAGGTGGAAATAGTCTTTAATGATTAAAGGCATTCCAAATGTGACATATCTTTATTCCATTTCTCTCAAATTCATTTCATCTAAATATTTTATCACTACCTAGTTTTATGATGCTTTATAACTCGCTAGACGATGTTATAGACAACATCATGTTCAACCTAAAATTGATCATTTTTCAATTTTCGTTTTCCTCGATACCAAGGGTGGACTTATGTACAAGCATTTATTTACGAAAATATAATTTAGTGTGTTGTGATTAATTTATACCTTACTAGAGAAGAATGACCCATCATTCTGATAGTCACAAAAATTTTATAATTAATTTTTATCTTAATAAAGAAGGATGAACCCAACAATCTAACGGCTACAAAAATCTTCGTGTCATGTACGAATTCGTACCGTATAAGAAAAATCCTAAAGCAGATCTTAATTATATGGTAAAAGAATAATCTCATAAGAAGTGAGTCATGTCACACATAAACACCGTGATAGGAAAGCAGTCGGCCATTTGGTGCAAATAAGAGTCAATGGGAAAAACAAGTTGCAAGATAAGCATATAGGATTATATATATATATATATATATATATATATAATTCATGAACTACACGTGCGTGTGTTTGCAACCGTGTGAGAACACACACTTGCATTGCAAGTTTGTCTGCGTCTAAATTTGTGAGTAAGTGTTGTGCGGGGGGTCCTCTTAGCAGAATGAGATTCATGGGGACAAATATTTTTATTCTTTTGGCATGGTGGAGACTCCATGAGATCAAAAGCAACAAGCTTTCGACAGTTTAAGGGAAATAATGGTTCTTCAAATGAAAAGTATAGGGTATCAAGATAAATACATAGTTGGAGATGAACTTGTATGGCACAGATATATTACTACGATAGTGTCTTTATGTAAATAATATAAGGATATGTTGAGAAAAATTAACGTATGTCGTATTATTGACACAAAACATTATTGTCACGAAATATTATTGTCACTATGACAGTGTATCTATGTCATAAAATTTTAAGAGGCAAATATATGATATATGCTCCACAAGAAGTACAAGAGGCAAATCACAAAGTAGGCCACTAAATTCTAAGTTGATTCGGTCATTTCCACAAACACCTTTGCAATCATTCTCATGAGCTACCATCATTGACTTCCTTCAAAATTCCAAATTTCTTTTACATTCTTACACGAAATATAAAGGACATAATCATGACTTTTAACTGCATATAGTCCTAGAAAACGAGAGACATTTGGCCAAAAACAAGGTCCAAATCATTAAGTGTCATAATACAAATGGTTGGATATTTTAAAATAAATTTCAATCATTTGTATTACGACACTTAGTATATCAGACCGTGTTCTTAACACGTTGAAAAAAAATTAACTTAGAAAACAAAGTTGCCAATGTCTGTTTTGAAATTTAACATGATTGTACGGCATATGATTTGATTATTTGAAGCCATTCCACTGCCTGAAATGACAAAATAGTTCCGGTTACTAGGGCTACCAACTCGTAACCCGACATTTTAATATCATATAATATGATTATAAGTAAATGAAAATCACGGTGGCCCGAAAAGATAAACAAATGAACTACAACCGCATCAGTTGGGATTTAAAAGTTATGTTCCGAGCTTGCATCCTTAGGATTATTGGACAAAAGAAGCATTGAAAGTAAGAAATTAGTGATGTTTGCCTAACAATGACATGCACAAACATATAGAAACAATACACAATCATAACAATGATTACTATGTCCACAAATGAAGCACTGATGAGGCCAAGCAATGGTGGTTTAAATTTAACTGGGTTGAAAATCATACCACATGGGAATTATGCCTTTGGGACTCTGATTCTTTGAGGACTAGATTGTGGCAAGAAATAGTAAAGCAATTAAAAAACTCGACACTTCCAAACATTTTTGTTTTTTTTTTCTTTTTTCTGATAAATGTTACGAGTGTGTTCTGTGCTGTAAGCCTCGTAAAAGAGTCACGCCCATATTTTAGGGTTAAAATGTTGATGCCCTTGCCCTTAGGTTATGTCGTGGCAATGTCTGCCAAGTGCACACTAAAGCATATGTGCCAAAAAAAAGGATCCCACCCTAATATGATCAAAGTTGACTTGGATAGTTTGGTTTGGATTTGGCTTTTGGAGCAGTGTCCTATGTATTTGGTAGCAAACTCCATACGACAATATCTACCTAGTATTGAAGATATATCAACAACATCCACTTAATATGAAAACTTTCGTCGACATCAACAACAATTATCTCCATCTACTTCACCATCTCAATTCTCCACTGCCACCATCATTGAAGACATCGCAAATTCGCAACCATCACTAAAACAATTGCCACCACGATTCAGGCAACACAATCAGCCACCACCATATTGCAAATCTCCATCGTCTCCACCAATCAGTGCTACACCACCATCACCTTCGACAACATCACACCACATCTTAGATCTGACAACTTTGGGTTTTTTCCCCATCCAACATGTAATATTAATTGTTATTGTGTGGCTTAGTTGAACTCTCATTCCCCTTAGTGTAAAAATATCGATGTACTCAAAAAAAAAAGATTAGGGACCAATTTGGTACAAATAATTTTTTTTTTTTTTAAACCAAATTGAAATCCCCAAATGCATATAAGGGATCAATTTTGCAATTAACTCTAAAGCTAATCATTTTGCAATTAACTCTATAAGTTAAAAGCTAGTGTATGGACTTGGGTCTATAACGTGGACTTAAAGCCCAGCTTAGCATAGCTTGGGCCTTTTTTAAGTGATCATAGACCGGCTTGAGCCTTAGTAGTTTTTTTATAAGACAAAATATATACATTAAGGGCCCATTTGATGGGCTGGATGAAATTGAGTCTTAATAATAGGATTAGACTAACAGAGACTTGTAAGACATGACATATACCATATATATAAAGATAGGTTAGATAACTCACTCTATTTTGGACTCATAATTTATCCCATCCAATCCACCAAACGGGACCTAAGGGTGACGAACTTATATTATGTCAAACAATGAGTCAGCTAACAGAATGACGTCAAACTAATTACTTACGAGATTCATATTTTTTACTTACAAATAAAGAAAAATATCATTATATCGTAATATTAAGTGGCAATAAATTCAGTTTTCCTATTTGTATGAATTTGAAAAAGGCATCAAAATTAATACGTCAAAATGTGCAACACAAAACGCACATATTAAAACTCAAGTGTTCAAATAATATTTTTCGTTTTTGCTCAAAAAATTAAAAAAAAAAATCGTTAAGAAGTAAGAACAATGACCCATTATGAAATTCTACATTTCGAGAGAAAATATCCTGCAAAAATATAAGCATGGGAATTGGAGCGAAATATTATTACAACATTGTAAAGTCTCAATCACAATCTAATAAGTCAAACAGAAGCAATGAACATGGTTAAACAAGCGATGAGAAGAAAAAGTGTGTTTTTATCATTCTCTTTGTCAAAATCGTCACAATGCATGCAGAACAAATAACGTCAACTCGACTAAAATCACAATTAAGGTTTATACCTAATACAAATTAGGGGGCAACCCTTCCTTAGAGCAACACAAACACACTTGTAAAATTTAAAAAAAAAAAGAATTGGCTGGTGTTAATGTGAATTAACTCTCAACGCATTCAAGTTATGCAATGATGTTCATCTCTTTTTTTTTTTTTTTTTTTCCATTCATTATTGTTTTTACCTAATAAGAAATGGCAAAGCAAACAAAACAAAAGGGATCGGAAATGAACGGGGTGGCCGATCACTCTCTTTGTCGGGTTGTATGTCTTAATATATAGTCAATTCCATTTAATCCTCCACCCGTTGGAGTTTCTAAAAATGGGATGTCTCTCTTTGGTGAATGCATTCTTTGGGGTAATCGCGGTTTGATTTGGAGTCAAATGTATATTACTATCTCATGTTATACAGGAGCTACATGCGGTGGAGAGTCTATCATCAATGTGATGGAATACCTCCTGTATTTATAAAAATAAAAAAAAATCACAATTTTCAAATAAACTTACAAAGAATGAATTCACCGTCATGTATTATTTTTGACCAATAATGCATTGGACTGAGATATTACAATGGTGGTAAACGTGTTCCTGAACTTTTGAGCACGACAAGCTTGATCAAATTTATATAAAATAATTTGTCGAAAAGTAACGTAAACTAAAACTGAAACCCTAATCATTATTCTCCAAGTGCAGACAGCAGCGTAGCTGGTACGAATGTCTTGCCAGCAACCACTAAAACAGCAACACTGGTGAAAACGACCGAGTGATGAATTCGACAGATCACAGCACATCTGCCATGCAATTACAAAGTATTCCTGACGGCTGTGGCCTATGTTATTAATACCATTTATTAACAATTAAAC